TCTTACTATTTGGAGGTCTAGAAGCAATCAGTTTTTTCCAACCACAAAAGGGTCTGAATTCCTGTTTTCTCTCTTCTCCTTTCCTTTTTCCTTTCACACTGGCCAGGTCTTCCCCAAGCTGACCTTTCACCTCCCTGCACCTCCCAAATGAAGCCAGTTGAACTGAATACTCACGTTTGATATTCTGTTTTTCAATCTGTTTCCTGAGAGCAACAAACTCATTAGTTGCATCATATGCTCTTCCTTCCAAGTTATAGCAGATGGCAACTTTTAGCATCACGTAATATGGACTATGCATCCCCACTGCTCTAGCCTCTGAAATTAGTTTCTTCATAATCTGGCATGCAACTTGTATGCCAGTGCCCATTCTTTAAAAAAATTTTTTTGCATGGTAACATTCCAGCTCAGATGACCAATTACTACTACATCAGTCAGATTTCGTCAGTAAAATGAAAAACACTCTAGGTATTTGGAATCAGATGTTGTTAATGATAGGGTTGAAGCATGGCAGGCAGGAGAGGAACCATCAGAAAGGCCCTCTGCATGCGATGCAGAAGCACAGGTATCACAGGAGAGATGCCAGCATGGTCTGGGCTGTGAGCACCCGGATGGGGTGGTGCTCACGAGGATGCTTGGACACCATGGGCAAACCCGTGTTCTGCGATCTTTAATGCTGCACACATGCCTACAACTTGTCTGGACAGTTACTCCCCTTTCCTTCTGCTTTCCAGTCTCATAACAGTGGCTTTCGTTAGTGGAACCTAACTGGAGTCTTACAGGCAAGAGATTTAGGCAAATGTGGTTTTAAGGCTTTACAGCCCTTTGGTACAGGAAAGAGCTCGAAGGGTAGAAATGGTGTGGTATAGCAACTACTGGTAGGTGGTACAGACAGGAACTTGCTCAACCTCAATAGTGGGCATTTTAAGAAAATATACACTCACTATCATTCTTAATCCTGAAACCCCTTCAAGTCAGGACAAAATAAGGCTCCTGCTAGCATCACTTCTCAACATTACATGAGAGGCTGAAGGCAATGCAAGAGAATAAGAAAATAACAGTTAAAACTTGAAAGGAAGAAACAAAGTATCATTATTTGTAGAAAATATGGTTCTGTACATAAAAAATACAAGGTAATCTACGAATTTCAACTAAGATGTTTATTTACAAAATCAGTTGTTTTCTAACATATTAGGAACAATTAGAAAGTAGAATTTTAAAACATCACTATTTACAACAGCAATAAAATATCTAAGATATATATACATACATATATATATAAACTAAAGAATAACAATAAAAGATGAGTGCAAAAATTGTGGAAAGATGATAAAACTTTTAAAAAGACACAATAGGAAACGAAATAGGTAGATATACCATGTTCATTGGTATGTGAATATCAAAGAGTATTCCATATCTTTCCCAATGTAATCCATATATCTAGTACAACCCCAATTGAAATCCTGACAGTGTTTTTTTGGCATGTTTTGCCCTTTTAAAAAAAATAAAATTAAACTTCATAAGCTGTTTTTAAAATTCATATGCAAGAGCTAGTTAAACCAAGCAAAAGCTTAGACTAAGATTTTTAAGAAGATAACAGAGGGATTTTTCCTAGACAGATTATAAAATGATGCTAATAAATATTTTGAGACCTACGGGAAGGCACACAAACTTAGAAACTTGACATCTGACAGATGTTGTTTTGCAAATCAGCTGGGAGATCATGGACTATTTAATGAATAATGCTTCCCATGTGGCAAAATAATTAGACCCCTGCTTCACACCACACACAAAGATTAATTTCAGGTGTCCTAAAAATCAAATGTGGTAAGGCAGACAGAGACAGACAAATATTGTGTGATCTCACTGATATGTGGTATCTTTAAAAAAAAAATAGATAGATACAGAGACCAGATTGGTGGTTTCCAGAGGTGGGAGATGTGGGGAGTGAAATGGGTGAAGGTGATGAAATGGCACCAACTTTCAGTTATAAGATAAATAAGTCCTGGCGAGGTAACGTACAGTATGGTGACTGTAGGTAACAATACTGTATTGTATGTGTGAAAGCTGCTAAGGGAGTAGATCTTAGAAGTTCTCATGATGAGAAAAACAACTTGTAACTATGTGTGGTCAGGGATGATAACTAACCTTATGGTGGCAATCACTTTGCAGTATGACAAAAGGTCCCCCTTTGAGCTAGAACGATCAGCAGCATTTTCTTCTTTCGGTCTGGTGTCCTCAGACTGGATTGTTGATAAAAGTATTCTTTTCCCTTTTTGTCACTTACAGTGCAGTGTCAGTGGTGGAGGTTTGGTAGTAAGGTTTGGCCTTTCTTGTAATCAGAAAACAATCTTATGACAAGATAAAGCTTGAAATTGCTCTCTGTGAAGTGATCAGGTCTTTGCAAGATTGAGTCAGTTCCCACTGCAGTGCTGGCAGCAGAATTCCCAGGGCGGTTTGGTGACTGAATTAACTTTTCCTTCAGGAATCACGCAGCCCTTTACAGCTGCAGGAACACAAATGCACTCCCCCGTTGCTGGTTTCCTGATAGCTTTTCCATACAGCAGTCTGAAGAGTGGAGAGCTCTGTTTCTGAGACAGAGGAGTGTTTTCCCACCTGAAGTGTAATTTCACACCTTGTGTTTCTCAGCAGATAAGTGCATAAAATAACACATCAAACCGGAATAGAAAAAGATCAACATAGAAGGAAAACTGCAGGTTGTAATTTGTTTCCCATCGTACAATGCTCTTGTGGAGAACAGTCAATCAGAGAGGCCTGGGTGTTCTCACTTTTTAAAAGTTTGACTGGTTTTAGGTGGGAAAGTGAGCAGTAAACATAATCAGCTTTTAGCCTGAACAGGTGTACAGAAGAATAGAATTTGAGAAACTCCTTAGCATTTAGGATTTAAAAAAATGAACAGAGAACACATAAATTGGTAAAAGTTGAAGTTAAGAAGGAAGTCAAGAAATACATTATTTTTAGTAAAAATATAATTGTCTTAGGAGATGATGTTCTTTATAGTGATCCTTTCAGAAATTTTAGCAGAAGTGGTAGATTATATCAGTGATTTGGATATTTTCTTTCCTTTCTGTAAATGACTAAACATAGGATGCTAGTTGCTGGATTACAGCATTCTGGTGCAAGGATTACAAAACATATAGCTGTATTGTGCAGGTTTGAAACATCTTGAGACCAAAAGAAAAAAGAAAGTCGAGCCTCCTGGCCAGCCATGCACATTCATTACACAATATTTCATACTCATTGGATGCCTCCCACGTGTCAGACCCGGGGTCAGGCATCAGGGCACAGCGGGGAACAAGGCGGTTCCTCTTCCACTGCTGGGATGCCAATGGCCTTGCAGATAAGCAAACAGGCCATGAAATACCGTACTCGGTGATAAGTGCTGAGATAAGTTAAAACTTGATTTTTAAAAACATTTAAATTTTTCCCCGTTCTAGTTTATATGCAATATTATTTTGAACTGCTTTCAAGTGTAAGCATAGTGGTTAGACAATCACATACTTCACAAAGTGCCCGCCCCCTGTCAATATTTCCAGTACCCACCTGGCCCCACACATAGTTACTACAATATTATTGACTACATTTCCTATGCTGTACTTTACATCCCTGCACCTATTTTGTGACTACCAATCTGTGCCTCTCAATTCCTTCACTTGTTTTCACCTACTCCTCTAACCTTCCTCTTCTCTGGCAACCACCAGTCTGTCCTCTGTATCTGTGAATCTGTAAAACTTGATTTTGATGAAGCCCACAGGAGGGGTATCTGAACTAGGGTTGGTGGGGAGGGAGAGTGGTCAGCAAAAATGCCTGGATAAAGTAATGTCCAAACCAAATGAAGAATAGATGTCATGTGGAGGTGGTATCACTTGGGATATCAGGGCATGCAGAGCTAGTGCAGAAGTGAAAGGGTAAGAGAGCATAGGGGCCTGGAGGGACAAAGGTAGTTCCAAATAGTTGGATTACAACGATAAAGGCACCAATGGAGAAAAACAGGGCCTAAATAAGTAGTCTTTACCAAGAAATTTAGTTTTATCCTGAGACTAGTGGGAAGTATTGAAGGTTTAGTTTTTGCTAATTAGTGAGAGTAACACGAGCAGATATGCATTTTACAGATACCGCTCTAACCAGTGATGGTGTTCAGTGAGCAAGCGTGCAGTGATGCAGGTGAGAGTTGAGTTTATGGCAGACACTGAGCGTTCAAAGGCATGGGGGATGGGAAAAACGTGGGCCAATTTGGGAACTATTTAGGAGGTAAAATCAGTAATACTTGGTGATTCATTGGCTGGACCAAGGTGAAGAGGTCAATCTTGTCCAAAATGTAGTCCTGGTTTCTGATTTGGATCATGAGGACGTGATGCTACCATTCACAGAGATGGGGACACTGGGGCAGCAAGTTGTTAAGGGTTGGGAAAATGATGCGTGAGATGTGTGTGCGATGTCCATGAAGAGAAATGTGGTATTCGGTTGGATCTTGAGCTTGAGAGAGAAGTCTAGTCCAGAGATACAGAGCTGGTTGTTGGCACTGAGTAGATGACATGGTCCAAAGAATATGTACACAGTGAGTAAAGAAGAGACTCTAACTCAGGCATAAAACAGTATTTTGACTATGGAAAGAAAACCATGTAGGGCAAAATGTATATATTTACCTTGTTATATAAATAAAATGTGAATAAAAAAAACTGTGCATGTCCACAAACACCACTGCATGTATGTCTAGCTGTGTATACACTCCTATACAGGTAGAGCTTCTAATAAACATCAGCAAGGTGCCCAATAGGGGGTTGCATGGAACATTAGACATTCAAGGGGATAGTCCCTTCCCTTAATCATTCATGTAAGATGTTAGTCCTGCAGCAAGTACCAGGCCCAAGAATGCCAATCAGTATGTTAAAAGAAAACTTTGCTGCCCGTGTAAATATTGCAACTAGACTGGCAAAACAGAAAGCACTGATGTTTTCTCATTTCTGTTGTTTTTTTCTTAGATACATATGGAAAACTCTTTCTCCTCAATTCTGTGGGTCAAGAGATGTCCCGCTGCAAGACATCTATTCGACGTGGTCAGCCCAATCCTGTCTATAAGGAGACCTTTGTTTTCCAGGTGGCCCTCTTTCAGCTCTCTGATGTCACGTTGATGATTTCCATTTATAACAGGCGTACTATGAAGCGCAAAGAGATGATTGGTTGGATTGCCCTGGGCCAAAACAGTAGTGGAGAGGAGGAACAAGACCATTGGGAGGAAATGAAGGAGACCAAAGGCCAGCAGGTCTGCAGGTGGCATAGCTTGCTTGAATCCTAGGTTTATCAACAGGTGTCTGTATGCTACATGTGCTCTGGTGGCCCTAGGTGTTGACTACCAACACCAGCTCAGTGTATGCTAGCAGTCTTTTCAAAGACAGGTTTTCAAATAAGGATTCAATTCCACTAACTCCTAGGACATTCTGTGTGTAGGGGGGCGGGGGAATGGGGATCTTTGGGTTTCTCAAAGGTTTGATTTGAATTTAAGTGTTGTAATTTTAAAAAATTCTACATATACAGTCAACTATGTGGAAAATGTTACCATAGTTGCAAGCAGTGATGATGAGTTAATTTGTGTTAATAGGTTATTGAGTTTCAGTTCAGACTCTGGAATGAAGCTTCTTCTACTCCCTTTTCTGTTTGCTTGTAGAGTAACCTGAGATCGCAAGGGAGCTGATAAAATATTACTATTTACAATCACTTATGTGTATGATTCAGAATTTTATTAATATGGTGCAAAAAACCTCCAAACTACAGAAATGAGTCAGACACTGAGGCTCAAAGAGGAATGTAACTGTTACCCATCGTCCCTGATTTCACATTTTTCTCTTCATCAAACCCACCCTCATTTATTTACCTAACAAATAAATGTTATATAAACTTGCACTTACAAAACAAATTTGTATTAATTAAATACCTCTTTTTATCTCACTTATATATTGTGGTTTTCCTATGAGGTTTGGTTAGATAAATCATTTTGAAACTAAAAAATACTTACAAAAAAAACTATTGAAAGACAACTTGTCTCCTTTGAATATATAAGATTTCAAACTTGTAACTTCCAAGATTTTTATGCTCTTTGTCTCACCGAATAAGCTCTTACAGAATGAGAAGAAAACCAAAAAACCTATTTAAGTCATGGGTTTATTGATTTTTTCTGAATCTAGTGCTTTCCTTTTAGATCATACTTTTTTATATGCAATTATATACTCAAACATCTATTTTGAATGTATGCCTGCATGTAAACCATACTTTTTTATGCAATATTTTCAATCACTAGTGAGCATAGTAAGTTGTAAACAATGGGTCTTTAATAATGTTAACTCAATTGACTCTTAGAAATGAACATGTTACAATACCTGTGAGTGGAGAAATATTTCCAGCTTGTATGCAATGACCCTACATTTTTCTTGGAGCTTTTGATGTGCCTGGAATTGTCTCTCTTTGTTTTTTTTTCATGGCATTTGCAGCAACACATGTTAGTTACTGCCTGTATCTGGGCCCGTGCTGTTTGGAACGGTGACATTGTGTGGTTGTGAGCATGAAATTTTACTTCCGACTGGCTTTTACATATTTGTGCAGTGCATGTTTCCTTAGTTTTTCTTAGGTCTGAGCCCTTCATTTCAATTCCTTTAAGTGGGCAGTAATAAGAAACGGAAGGGATGTGTGTACTTGGAACACTGTGCCCACGTGCAGCGCTTCTGAGCGATTGCTCAGTCACTTATTTTTAGCTTTTATGTTTCATTGTTGACTTTTTGCTGTCTACGAGGAGAGTGATAGCTAGTGATGGATGTATACAGTTAAAAACACAGAACTCCCTCTCAGCTCTCCATTTTGACAGATTGCAAATGCAGTCGGTAACACTTGAAGAACATATTTATTCCTTTCAGCCGGCAATGGTTATCCTGACAACACCAGAGTCAGGCACAGAATAACCCTACCAGGATTTCAAATACCAACTTTCGAAATGAAGTGCTTGCACATGGGATACTCAGAATAAGCAAAACAAATTATCTCCATTTATTTTCAGGTCTTGGGAGTTTCATGTATAAAGCCGCTCAGTTAATTGGGAATAAGTAATAAAACCATGCCCCTTAGGGTTTTTACCCTATCCTCCTTTGGATGACCTCAAAGTGCTTTTCCAACATCGTATCCATTAACTACTGAGTGGTCTTTGCAGTGTGGCTGTGTCAATAACTGGACTGAGTGCAATTGATTAAGTAGCGGCACAAAGAATTGGCTCCTCACATCCCACACCCGCTTCATGCGCGTGTTTAAAGGGAAGTGGAGCAGCCTTGTTATGCCTCCCTTTATGCAGTCACATAAAAGCCGCATTCACTTTAAAATTTACATTTGAAAAAATCTGCATATATTGTACAGACAGTCCTAGATTTCTGCCCCCCTCATATTTCCCTGCCTTATGTGTCACTGCATCTCTTATCTCTTGGGGCCCAATCACCCCCTCTAACTTCCTTCTCTGCTGCCTTGACCCACCCGTTTTTAAGGTTTTCTTCTGGTTTGGTAAAGGCATCTTTGTGCATTTGATCTGCTTCCCAATAGTCTGTTTATCACATATAGTTATAGGAGTGTCAGCATTTTAAGGGAAGGGATGCCTGAAAGGCATTTTTTATTTTTATAATTTTACAGTATTGGTGCTACTCACCATGTGGGGTGTATGTACATCTTGAATATACAGCAACAACCACCCTAAAGCTGATGTCTAAATATAAAATGCTAATGACAAGATACATTAAAATATGAGGCTGATTTTTTACATTGATTTGAAATTCTAGTTTAGTAAGATCTTTCAATTTTGAGCATTTAAACTCCCTTATTTTCTTGGCAGTCTAGACATGATGCGTTGAACATGTTTTTCACTTGAGCTTTTACATGTGCATTTGCTTTTCAAAAGATTTATGAAAGACAATTAGTTGGTTCTGAAGTGAAAAAAAGCTGCTTTTATGTGTTTTCTCTAGCTCATAATTAATATCTCATAGGGACATTTGACATTGAGGAAGCATCAGTATTTGTTGCATGAGTAGTCCTCTCCATGATTTTTCCTGAAGAGGTGCTTTTAAAATAAGATTATTGAAGGATATTGATGCACTGGGTTTATGGAAATGGGCTTTCCAGTGTGCCTTCTTGCAGGGTGTAGGTTTATAACTGAATTGTGAAGTGCTGGTTTTACCCATCATGGAGGTGGTGCCTGTGCTCCTGCTACCCTTCCGACTACTGCTGGATTTGTAAATGGGCCATTCACCAGGCAGCTGAGCACCTGCTCTCTCTCCTCCCTCCTTCACTGGCTCCCAGTGTGATGCACAGTTGTTTGGGACCCTGTTTTGGCTGTTGTTGTGTAACTGTGAGGGGAGGTCTTGCCTTCCTAACAAAAGCACTTGTAATGCTGTTAGCTGTATTATAGTCAGCATTCTACATGCACAAAGTTTGAGAGAATCCTCACCGTAATCTCAAGGGGCAAAGAGAGTGTAGTACTGCATTGTCATTTGCTCCCTTTGCTCCTCTTTCAAAGACAATGATTGACCTCAAATGTCAAGATCCTCCACAGTACTAGGTGCTACCGGCAGGCTCCTACCAATTTTACAAATTGTTGACACTTCGGCCAGGAACTGTGTTTTACATCCTGGCTATACTAGGTGGTCTTATCTGAAAATCAAAACTCTCTTCTTTTCAAATAAAGCCTTATTTAAGTTCAAATTACTATCAGATTACGTGAAAGTGTTTCTCTGGTATAGCCAATGAATTGACTAAATTGATGATTCACTGTGGACATGGAATTGTGAGTTTGCCCCCAAGCCTGGCTATCCTTTTGCAGCAGAGGACTTAGAACATTAAGATCAGGTAACTGAGTAGGAAAAGATTATTTGGAGATGACCTAAACCCAAATGAGTGCATATTCTTGAATGACAAGGAAATGACTACACAACTCATTTGGCATCATCTCCTCTCACCTTTGAGGAAAACATGGCCAAAGAACATACATTTCATTCTATTTGATTCACAACAAAAGTAACTGATAGGTAATCCTGAAGTGGAGAAGTATTCTTGCCTTAAAAAAAAATCATTCTTTTGCCCTGGCCAGCATGGCTCCGTTGGTGGGGTGTTGTCCTGCAAAGCAAAAGGTTATCAGTTTGATTCCTGGTCAGAACACAAGTGTAGGTGGCGGGTTCAGTCCCTGGCTGGCGTATGTACGAGAGGCAACCGATCAATGTTTCTCTCTTGTTATCGATGTTTCTCTTCTTCTTTTGCCTTCCCTTTCCCTCTCTCTAAAAAAAAATCATTCTTTTATTCCAAAGAAAAAAACTATGCAAACTATAAGAAACAAATAATCATAGTAGGTATATGAAAGAACTGAAGAATAAATAAATAAGCTGGAAAACTTCAGCATCTACCAGCATATATTCTAGAAGAGTAAACTAATAATCCAAAAGATATTTTAGGCCAACTAGTTATCATTTTTTCATGTCTGGTGGAATTCTGGAAAATACTTACAGATAGTACTTACAGACGAAGCAAATGAGGCTGGTCTAACAGAGCTCAGAGAGGCTGACGTGGTCTGAGGTTAGCCTGGGCTCGGGGAGAACTCTGCCAACTGCTGTGTAGCCTTAAGAAAACTACTTATCCAGCTTGTATCCCAGTTTCTTTGGGTGGAAAATGGAAGTAATATCTACCTCATGAAGTTTTTAAAAAGACATTAAGGAAATAACAGCATAGAGTGCAGCATATTATAAGCATTCATATTTTCCCCTCACAATCATGCTTAAAAAAGAGAAAAAGGTATTTAAGATTTGTTTCTATTTCTAGTGAAACTAATGGTAGCATTAGAGGAAGACTAGTCTGAATTTGTGAAGCAAGGAAGTCTTATTGGGGCAACCTGGCAAGAGGTACACTTGTATAAGGAGGATATAGAGTCTTAGTAAATCCCCTAAGAGGTATAATAACCAAATCTTTGTCCCCGCCCACCCACCTTTGGTTTGGGGGAGATGCAAAACCTTGGTGCACACGAGTGTGCACATCTTAGCAAATCACACACAAGGCCTCTCCTTGTCCCAGCTCTTCTCTACTGTTTGCACCTGGACAGGGCACCTTGTCACCGTCAGAAAGGGTTGGCGAAGAGGGCAACCTGAGTTTGTATTTGAACTGTGACCTGACAGACTAAGGTATTGTAAATGCTGTGGCACTATACTGACACCCTTTTTAACACAGACAACACTTATTGGGGAGCCAGTATTACATGTCCATACTATATCCTTATAGGCAAGAATTTTAAGTGATCTAATAACTCAACTATCAAAACATATCGAACTGGTTGGACTGGGAAGTTCTATTTAGGATCAATTATTTATCACTGTTTCCCTTAAGAGATCTTAATGAAATGAGCTTCACCAGAGTTGATAGTGACTTCTTTTTGGAAAGTTTTAAGACTGACTTGTTGATAAAATGGAAAGCGTGATGGGTTGTTCTCAAGTGTTCGAACCTGAAGTAAAGAGGTGAGTTTTCAGGAAAAGCTTTGTGGACATTCGATCTGAAGAAGTGTCCTCGGTAAGTTCAGTATAACCAGGTGCCATGAGCCAGTCATGTATTACTTGTGTTTTTAAACTAAGCGTGATTGTGGGATGGGGAAGTATAAGGCTGTATTCCCAATATTGCCAAATTGTCATTATGCTGACTCAGGTTCTGGGTTTCCCAATTCAGGAGAAAAATGACGAAATTGGAGAAGAACCCCTTAGTTGAGCTGTTCTATTTGGGAATAATTCAACATCTAGGGAAGTTAGAGGGGTTGGCGTGAGTTGAGGAATCTGTGGAGTGACTGCTAGTAACAGTTATTCAGGGTAGAAGGAGTTCTTACCAAGAGGACAGTGCCCTCCTTTCCTGACCATGTGGGCAGAGTCAGAGAAAGCTTCCACCTAAATCAAGGCTGAGAGAGTTTAAGATAGAAGGAGGATTTTGTGAAGGTTGTTTTGAATTAACTAAAAATGTATTCACTGGATTTTCTTGTGTCTAACACCATGCTTCTGGGGACAGCACAGGACTTAACATCTTTTTGGGGCTGTGACAACATATGGAAGCATTAGTCATCGTAATAACACCAGCAGTGCTCACCAATACATTAGTCTAATTACACTGCATAAAACGTAGACTTCCTTGTTATGGGTTATTGGAAAGAGGTAGATATGTATTGACTGAATTTATTGAAGAAAATGTCTAGGAAGCCTGGGCCTTGAAGCCATGTTGGGAGGGGAATCACCAAGGGAGATCACAGAGCCGCCATCTTTGGAAGTCTTTTAGACTTCCAAAGGAAGTCTATAAGGACTTCCTTAGACATAGGAACCGATGCCTGAGCTGGGGGTTCTGTCTGCAGGGAACGAGAAGGTACCCAGGAAGAGAGCCCTTATAAAGTTCCTTCTGAGAGGTTATATTCCACCCCCAAACAGCATCAACAATAACAACAGTTGGCCTGCCCTCTTCCCCTTGGGACACTTTTCCACATCGATTTTTCTCCGTATCATGCCAGATTTTCTCTGGGGGTTGCTGCCCAGGCGTTGGTTAGGCAGCTGGGAATGTCTGCAGGCCCCACTCGAGTTTCCTCTCTTATGGGGCTTTGACCGTTTGTGTCCCCCTTGGGTCACAAAGCAATCACGTAGGCACGCAGACAAGAATCAGCTCTGTTTGTGGCCACAGTGGAACCTGGAAGATAGCTTGAGGCGTCACGGAACAAACGCTGAGACGGTCAAGGGGGCCTGAGGCCTACTTAGAGTAAACCCACCCCAGGAGTTGCTGCCGCCCCTCGGTTGCTCACTAATGCCGCCCTGAGGTGTCTCCGTTCTCCAGGGCAGTTTTTACTTCGTGTCACTGTTACCAGTCCCATGTTGAGGATGTGAGGAGACTGCCTTCCCATCAGGATCGCCATGTTTGTACACTAGTTTTGTTTACTTCATTTTCCCCCTAACGTGTCTACTTGCTGTTTTCTTTATTACATTAGTTTATATAAAACATATTCATTCAAAGAACATTTATTAAGTATATGATGCCCCAACTCTGGGCTAGGGGCTGTAGAATAGCAGATGTGTAAAACGGTTTGAGTTTAACAGTCATTTTTGTTTCTAAATATTCCTTTTTAAAAATTTGTTTTTCAGTTTTTACTGATTTTATTTTTTAAATTGAACTTACTAGGGTGACATTGGTTCACCAAACCACACAGGCTTCATGTGTACAGCTCAATGAAACGCCGCTGCACACTGCACTGTGTGCCCATCTGCCCAAGCAAAGTCTCCTTTTGTACCCAGCCCCCACCGTTTCCGCCTCCGCCTCTACCTCAGCCCTCCTTTCCCTCTGCTTATCTTTCAAGGTTTCCCCTTCTTCTCCCACCCCTCACTGACAGGGAGAGGATTTAAGAAAAGTGGAAGTTACTACTCCGCCTCTAAGAATTATGCTTTCTTGTCAGTCTATATTTCCCTTCAAAATAAAGGGATATTCTTTGCATCAAAAGAAAGCAGTGTAGTATTCCATTCTGGTAATTAAGTGAGTTATGGCAGGGAATAGAAGTTAGATGTTTAGTATGTTTATTTTTATAATTGAATATTAAATCCTCCTGGAATGCTAGGTCTGTACAAACAAATGGGACACAGTTCTTGGAAGCTCTGGATTTCAGTACTTGAAAGGTATTGCTACCTTTTGGTTTTTGAAAGAGGAAAACTGGAAACAGCTGCCAGATGAAGGGGTAATGGTGCGAACAAAGAACTCTGCATTCTTCTCCCTGTCGTTTGATTAAATCGTCTTAGATGTTATACACTGAACACGTCTGGGGCATCCCTACGACATGGGTGAATGTCAACAGTGGGAGTGTCCCTACCTTAGCAGATTAACCACTAACTGTTTTCCAGTCTCAAACAATTTTAAGCCCACCTGAATCTAACTCTTAATGGGCTCAATTTTATAACAGGAGACAAAAATAGAAGTTTTGGCAAATGGATTTATTGCTTATAATTTTCGATCTCATAAAAACTTATCTATTAAACAAGTCTCAATCTATGTGAGTCCAGTCAGAATCCTTCATGTCCCAGAAATTCTTACCAAAAACTATTTTTTAGCGTTGCCCCATTGAAAGCCCACAATAAAAAAAATCCACATCTCTTATTTGATGAAAGCTTGATATTTGGGAAAAGATATCAGAAGGCTGCCAATAAAAACTGATTGGTGAGGAACATGTACACTGAAAGAATATTTTCATGTATGTTATTCTGTATAATATATTCATATTCTAGGTCCACACATCTCTCTTTGTTTCTTTATCAAGTTCCTTATCCTCTGCACCTTGAGCAAAGCTACTACTTTCACCACATTTTCCCGTGACCCATAATAATCTTTGTTAACTCACAATCACACCAAATTATAATGCAGTCTTTCATTATGCCACCATACTAATGCAGCTACAAATTAAACTTCACTGTGAAATACAAAGTCTTTTCCAGAATTTTAAAATTTAATTTTATTGCAGATTTTAAGTTTATGTAGAAGTTAGTATTTGCATACTTTATTGTGATTGAGAAATTTGTGTAATAATATTTGTTGGAATAAGCTTTGACATATATTTTCAGGATAAAGTAGGATGGTCTTTGTGATCTCTTTACTTTTAAAATGTGTAATAATTTAAATTTTTTGAGCAGTTTCAGATTCATAACAAAACTAAGTGGAAAGTACACAGAGTTTCTGTATAGCTTCTGTCCTTGATCTCGTACAACCTCCTCCTCCACCAGCATCCCACACCGGGGTGGGTGCATCGGTTGCAGCCTGTGAATCTACACTGACACGTCACCCAAAGCCCACAGTGCAGGTTCCGTTCCACGCTTCCAGGTTCACTACCATAGAGATCCTGTGTGTTCTGCCTGTTCACCCCTCCCCCAAACCCTTGGAGACCACTGATCTGATCTTTTTATTGTTCCAGGGTTTTGCCTTTTCCAGAATGTCATATGGTTGGAATCATAGTATGTAGTCTTTTCAGATTGGCTTCTTTCACTTACTAATATGCCTTTAGGTTTCCACTGTGTCTTTTAATGGTTTGACAGCTCATTTCTTTTTAGCATTGAATAAGAATATCTCATTATCTGGATGTATCCGTTTGTTTATTTT